AATATACAGAAATCTGTTGCATTTCTATACACCAATAATGAAGCAGCAGAAAGAGAAATTAAGAAAACATTTCCATTTACAATTGCATCAAAAATAATAAAGTACCTAGGAATAAACCTAACCAAAGAGGTGAGAGAACTGTATTCTGAAAACTGTAAAAAACTGATGAAAGGAATTGAAGACAACACAAAGAAATGGAAAGATATTCTATGCTCATGGATTGGAAGAACAAATATTGTTCAGATGTCTACTCAAGGGGCTCCTGGGTGGCTCAGTTGGTTAAGCGACTGCCTTCGGCTCAGGTCATGATCCTGGAGTCCCTGGATCGAGTCCCACATCGGGCTCCCTGCTCGGCAGGGAGTCTGCTTCTCCCTCTGACCCTCCCCCCTCTCATATGCTCTCTCTCTCTCATTCTCTCTGTCTCAAATAAATAAATAAAAATCTTTAAAAAAAAAAAAGATGTCTACTCAAAATAGTCTACACATTCACTGCAATCCCTATCAAAATATCAAGAGCTTTTTTTTTTAAAGAACTAGAACAAAAAATCCTAAAATGTATATGGAGCCACAAAAAACCTTGAATAGCCAAAGCACTCTTGAAAAGCAAAGCTGGGGGCATCACAATTCTGGACTTCATGTTATATTACAAAGCTCTAGTGATCAAAACAGTATGGTACTGGCACAAAAGTAGACACATAAATCAATAGAACAGAATAGAAACCCCAGAAATAAGTCCACAATTATGTGGTCAGTTAATCTTCAACAAAGCATGAAAGAATCCAATGGGAAAAAAACAGTCTGTCTCTTCAATAGATGGTGTTGGAAAAACCGGTCAGCTACATGCAAAAGAATGAAACCGGGACCACTCTCTTACACCATACACCAAAAATAAATTCAAAATAGATTAAAAACCTAAATGCAAGACCTGAAACTATAAAAGTCCTGGAAGAGAACTCAGGTAGTAACTTCTCTGACATCGGCCATAGCAACTTTTTTCTAGCCAGGTCCCTTGAAGTAAGGGAAAAAATAGCAAAAGTAAACTGTTAGGACTACATAAAAATAAAAAGCTTCTGTACACAAATAATTAACAAAACTAAAAGTTACATTATGGAATGGGAGAATGTATTTGCAAATGATATATCCAATAAAGGGTTAGTATCCAAAATACATAAAGAACTTATAAAACTCAGCACCCAAGAAACAAATAATCCAATTAAAAAATGGGCAGAAGACATGAACAGATATTTCTCCAAAGACATCCAGATACCCAACAGACACATGAAAAGGTGCTTATCATCACTTACAATCAGGGAAATGCAAATCAAAACTACAATGTGATACCACCTCGTACCTCTCAGAGTGGCTAAATTCAACAATACAAGAAACAACAGGTGTTGTTGAGGATGTGAGAAAAAGGAACCCTCCTGCATTGTTGATGGAATGCAAACTGGTGCTGCCACTGTGAAAAACAGTAATCGCACTACTAGGTATTTAACCAAAGAATACAAAAACACTAATTCAGAGAGATACATGCACTCTTATGTTTATAGCAGCATTATTTACAACAGCCAAGATAATGGAAGGAGCTCAAGAAGTGTCCATTGATTGATGAATGGATAAGGAAGATGAGATATATATATAAAATTTATAATATGTAGTTTATATATAATGTATAATATATCACTACGTTGTATTGTGTCTATATACACATATATATATAGTGGAATATTATTCCACCATAAAAAAGAATGAAATCTTGCATTTGCAATGACATGGATGGAGCTAGAGAATATAATGCTAAGTGAAATAAAGCAATCATAGAAAGACAAATACCATATAATTTCACTCTTGTGTGGAATTAAGAAACAAAACAAATGAGCAAAGGGAAAAGAAGAGAGAGGAAGAGAGTTAAACCAAGAAACAGACTCTTAACTATAGAGAACAACAGATGGTTACCAGAGGGGAGTGGGGGAGGATGGGTGAAACAGGTGATGGAGATTAAGGAGCGCACTTGTGATAATCCCCAGGTCATGTATGGAATTGTCAAATCACGACATCCTACCCATGAAACTAATACAACACTGTATGTTAACTAACTTGAAACTAAAATAAAAACTTAAATGAGTAAAAAATCTCTTTAAAACACTATCAAACTGGGGCGCCTGGGTGGCTCAGTTGTTAAGCGGCTGCCTTCCGCTCAGGTCATGGTCCCAGGGTCCTGGGATGGAGCCCCGCATCAGGCTCCCTGCTCGGTGGGGAGCCTGCTTCTCCCTCTCTCACTCCCCCTGCTTGTGTTCCCTCTCTCGCTGTGTCTCTGTCAAATAAATAAAATCTTAAAAAAAAAAAAACTATCAAACTATTGAAATATGAAAAATAATGAAAGAACTAAATAAATGGAGAGATAACTTTATTCATAAATTAGAAAGCTTAGTATTATAAAGATTATAATTTCTCACCAAATTGATTTACATATTTAATACAGTTGGAATTAAAATTGTAAAAGATTTCTTCCTGGAATTTGGCAGCCTCTTTCCAAGATATATGTATGTGGAAATGCAAAGGATCTATAATAGCCAACACAGTCTTGAGGTTAAAAAAAAAAAAATGGCAGTAGTTGCTCTACTGGCTGTCAAGATTTATTATCAAGCTACAGGAATTAGACATGCTTTATTGGCACAAAGATTAGAACAGAGAACCTAGAAACAGATCTATGCATATATATACATATATATATATATATATACTTGATTTGTGACAAAGGTGTCCCTGCAGAGCTGTGTGAAAAGGCTGTCTTTTCAATAAATGGTCTTGGAAACATTTGATTTCCACATAGGAATAGGAAAAATTAACTTGACAAATATTTCACACCGTAAAAAGTTAATTCTGGGGTCAAGGGCTTGTAGATTTAAAAGTGAATGGAAAACTAATAGAGATTCCAGCAAATAGCATAGTAACATATCTCTATAACCTTAGAGTAGGTAAAAATATTAAATGGTACACAAAAATCCCTAATCATAAAGATAAAATTGATTAATTAGACTATAATAACATTAAGGAAATCAATTCTTCAATAATTAACTCTCATTAAGATAGTAAAATATAAAACCTTCAGATAGAAAATGCTATCTGCAAATTTTGTGAGGAGCAAACACCTTTTATCCCAAGTGACTAAAAGTATTGACAAGCCCTATTGATGAAATGCTCACACACTGAAGGGAGAATTTATATTGTGATACCTAATTTGAAAGATTGAAAATTTTACTATTTGAACATATATACCATATTACCTGGTAGTCCAAAGACATGTAAAAGAATGTTCGGACAGCATTTTTCATAATAAACAAATGCTGCCAACAATCCAAATGTCCTTTATGAGGTGAGTGGATGCATGGATATTGGTATATTTACACAGTGGAATGCTCTACAAGAGTGAAAAGAATGAACTGCTGCGACATGCAACATCATAAGTATATCATTAAAACACTAAATGAAAGATGCTAGGTACAAAAAACCGTGTACAATATAATCCCATTTATAAAAAGTAAAAAAAATACAATAATTTTTAAGAATTTATGCTAATGTGGTAAAATATTAACTTAAAAAGGAGAAAAAGGATATTCTTATCATAAAAGGGTAGTGATTCTTTCTTAGGTAGAAGGAATATGGAAATATTGAGGAAGTAAGAGCTACCTTTGGGCGTGCTGATATTGAGTGGTGGTTACAAGGCTGTTTATTTGTTGAAAGTCATCAAACTGTATATTTCTGTTTTAAATATTTCTCTATATGTCTATTTCATTTCACAATATAAAATAATAAAACATAAAGCATAGAACATAATTAATAAAAATCAATTATTTTAAAGTAGAATTTTTTTTTTCTGTTGGAAATTACCCAGATACTGATTTTTTTAAAAAACTAGCTTATACTAATTGTATAGCATTATTTGACAAGGTGAACATTTTTAATATTTTTATTCACAGAAAGATAAGTCACATTACTTGAATGCAAACAATCATATACCATTACCCTGTTTTAACTGAGTTTAAAGTACTTGAAAAAGGTGTTCTCTTTTTTTGTATAAAAATGTTATATTCAATTTTAAAGAAACAGTCATAATTAGTAGATGCAGAAGAAATATTTGAGTTAAATATATTACTTTAGATTTTCTTCATGTTTCTCTTAATAGCTCTATATTCTAAATTAACTAAATAATATATCTGTATTATGACATTAATTCAAAATACTTTAATTAGAAAATTCACTTGTCGTAACAATACTATTTATCTGTTACAAAAATATTTATCCAACAGATGTTAGGTGAATATATATGAAGCTTATTTTAAGCTGATAAAATAGCTGTTCATTCCAATTATTACAAGATAATTTATAAATGCTCATCTGTACAGGACATTCAATGTTGTTTCAAATACATAAACCTACTTATTTAACTTAGAGTTTGAATTTTAAGAATACCATTTATACAAAAATATTCATCACAAAATAAATAACAAAGGTCTGTATTTATGCTACCTATCATATTAGGCATAATCACATATTATCCATTTTCCCAATATTTCAGAAATCAACAATTCATGATTTTAGAGTGCTTAACTGTATTAGTCCCCCTTACAAGTCATTTTTTATATGAATGAAGTATAAAGGTATTGAGTGAGTGAAAGGAGCCTCGTTTACTTTAAATCCTAGAAATTTAGTTGTTTAGTATTTTATTTATTAGTTGAAAGTATGCTTCACCCTAACTCATCAAAGCTCAAACTAAGCAATACATTGATAAAGAACAGATTTTCTTTAAAAAGATGCATTTTATTTCTTAGTTTAATGGCTGTTTTCAAACAGCTTCAGAGGCACATGTTCTTCAAATACATTAAAATACTGTGTATTTCTTGAAAATTAAAAGAAATGTGTATCACTGTATCAATTATAACATGTAAACATATGAAGAGCATATTTAAAGCTAATACGTGTTAATGACATTTGTTTCAGACCTAAGGCAGCTGTTCTGGAAACTTTCCGTTGCTTGGTATTCCTCATGTTGTATCGATCTGGTCATCTGAAGCCTTTCATTCCTTCTTTGTCATTTGCCTTTGAGGTAAGACATTTGTTTTAGGAGGCTATCGCATGATTATACATCTATTGTGTATTTAATCCATTCATTCAACAATGTTTTTGTCTATTTTGTGACTAGTACTTGTGGCAAACTTACTCATTCATGTACTTACCATACCGTATTAATTGTGTCACCTGGAGCTAGTTGATATTGTTGAGTTTCAGCTTTTTGGTCTTTAGATTTGGATTGGTACCATTGACTTCATAGAATTGTTGGACAAGTTATATCGCCTAACGTTTATAAAGAAAAAGTAGTCCACATGGTTGGTTTTCAGCAGGAAAAAAAATTACAGAAAGTTATTGGCAGAGACTCTTCCATTTAAGATTTTTCTCTTTAGGCTTTTAAGGTAAAGATTTGATTAAAATGTCATATCAATTACCCACAAGAGATGATGATTCTATAGAAATAAAACCATTGATGTCATTGAGATTTTTCTACAACTGAAAAATATAAGTTAAAATTTGACCTGTGATGATTAAAACTTATCTTCTAAGAACTTCCAAAAATTGGGGGGTATATATTTATTATCTCAGATCTTAGACAACTGTTAAAAAAATTTTATCCTCATCACTAAACTTTTAATGGACAAGGTTTTATTCTTTTAAATTAAGGGTTATTTTAACTTTGGTGCTGAGCAGCCTACTAACATGCCCAGAATATGCAATATGTAACCTTTTTAAAACATGAAACATAAAAAAACCTTCCGCCAGCATCAATGGAAAGACTAAAACAGGCACTTTATAATTTAGTAATGATAGTAAATTGGAGCAAACTCTTTGGAAAACAATTTGGTACTACCATACAAGGCATATAAGTCTAAAAATGAGGGAGGAGAGATGTATATGTATAAATGTATATATTATATACATGTAAATATATCTGGAAAGATAAATAAGAATTTAACATATGGTTGCCTATGGAAAGGCAAATTGTGTGAGTAGGAGAAAGAACATGGGGAAGATTTTCTTAACATTAATATTCTTTACTACCTTTACATTTCTGCACCACCTGAATATATTTCTTTAAAAGTTGTGTAAATTTAAGAAATGAGGCATAAAATGTTAGTATCAGGATACTAGATATCATCCATCTAATACATTTTGCATTTAAATAGGTACTAAATAAAGTTTATATGATGGGTTCTTACATTGTTTCTTGAGATTACAACCTAAAAACAAAATGAAGAAACATAAATTACACATATTTAATGAAATTTGGAAATACACATGCCAAAAAAATAAAATATTAAAATCAAGGAGTAGCATTCTCATACTCTAATGGGGGAAGATATTGTAAATACAGGTATGAAAGAAAATAATTCCAATTAATGAATCTACTCTTGGGTATACTATGGTAGTTTATCTTCAGTGATCCAGAGTAGAGAAATGGGTTAAGGTAGCCATGGTATAAACAAACGGGAATGTAGGATTGTAGAACCATATTGAATTTGGGGTTCTTTGATGATGGGATAGTGGAGAGCAGTGTAGTGTGTCTGACTTTTGAACGTGATGAATTCTAGTGGTGAGATGCTGTCCATTTACTAATTTTAGTCAGTAGGAGAATGTGAGCGGCTAATACTTGAGCTTTGAAGCCACATTGCCTGAATTTGATTTCTTTTTTTTTTTTTAAAGATTTTATTTATTTATTTGAGAGAGAATGAGAGAGAGCACGTGAGAGGGGGGAGGGTCAGAGGGAGAAGCAGACTCCCTGCAGAGCAGGGAGCCCGATGCGGGACTCGGTCGCGGGACTCCAGGATCATGACCTGAGCTGAAGGCAGTCACCCAACCAACTGAGCCACCCAGGCACCCCAGCAATTATAAAAATTTGTTTTTATAATATTAGAAGAAATGGTCAAATTTTTAAATCTTAAACAAGGACACTTTAGGGTACAGAATGGAGAGATCATGCAGGAAAATAGTCAATTACATTTTTTTAAAGATTTTGACAGAGAGAGAGACAGCGAGAGAGGGAACATAAGCAGGGGGAGTGGGAGAGGGAGAAGCAGGCTTCCCGCGGAGCAGGGAGCCCGATGCGGGACTCGATCCCGGGACTCCAGGATCATGACCTGAGCCGAAGGCAGTCGCTTAACCAACTGAGCCACCCAGGCGCCCCTGAATTTGATTTCTAACTCAGAAACTTACTAGTATTTGTCAGCTTAAATATTCTTTGTCTTGCATTCTTTGTCTATAAATGGATGAAGTAATAAGGTCTGTCTAATAGAAATTTGAGGATTAAAGGAGAATCTGTGTAAGAGATTTAGCATAGTGCTTAACATACAGTACATGCTCAATAAATATTAGATGCTATTATTATTATCATTTTATATGAAATGAAAGATCCCTTGGAATAATACTTAGGTTTGCCTCAGGATCCAAAAGTCAAGTATGGGAACAACTGAGTAGAGGAGCAGATAATGTTGAACCTAAAAGTCATGCTTAAGAATTCTTAGTCTAATGCTGACTCTATGACATGAGACTCTGTGCCTCAGGTTGTTTACCTGTAAAATAGGTCTGATGAGAGTTGACATGCACTGAGATTTTACTATGTTCTAAATGCCCTACTCCTATTACTTCATTTAATCTTCATATCAGTGTAATGGGGTATAGCTACTATTATTATTTTTATAACAAAAAATTGAGTTACAGAGAGGTTGAAAACTTGTCTGAATTAACGTAACTAATAAGTGAACAAGTCAGGATACAAATTCAGACAGTCTGACACTGTAACTCTTAATTACCTAGCAACATTTTCTTCCATGTAATGATAGCAATACTTAGCCACCTCAAGGAATTTAGATAAAAAAAATACAGATGCAATGTAGCAAAAGTACTTTGAAAAACGTGAAGACCAAAAAAAAAAAAAAAAAAGATCTTATCAATTTGACTGCAAAAATGTTTTGAAAAGACTAATGGCTTCAATAACTTACCTCTGAATTATCTTTAGTTCATGATTCAAGGGAGGGAAGACACAATGGCAAAACCTTTCAGGCTGCTCACCTACAGAACCTGTTCCTGTCCATGTAAGCACACAGATGGCTGATTCTTCAAGACTAAACATTGACTGTGATTTGCCAAGAAAACATTGCCTTAATATGGTGTGTTAATACTATCTATTTACATGGTTTGGTGCAAAAATTTAATGACACAAAAGGTAGGACATAGGAAGCACCTGATACATTTTAGTTACTATCCTTGTTCATATTACTATTAGTACTCTATATTATAATTAAAATATTGCTGCTATTATTATTAAAGTATTATCATTATCATTATTATTAACCATTGAATTTCCATTGGTAAAACTCAACAAGTCTTCTCTGACCAGAGGTCAAGTCTTCTCTGACCAGAGGTCAAGACTGGGCAAGTATTTCATTATCAACATTTTACTTGTGAAGCAGTCTTTTCTTCCACTTCTTTTTTGAGTTCAAGAAAAATGTAAATTACTAGTTATCAATTCTTATGTTCTTTAAATTCAAAATTTAAAAAAAAACTAGTTATCAGTTCTTATATTCTTAATCCTGAATTTCATATTTGTGTTTTCCTCACATTAGAACTTTATGTAAATTTTTACTATTTATTGTAGTATTAATAGAACTAATTCTTTGCCCCAAATGAGGAGAGAAACCTAATAAATGGCCTCCGTGACTACATTCAGTAGGAATCAGGGGTGATTGTATTATAAGGACACAATGTTCTCATCATTTTTCTTTGAAGCTATCATTAAAATCAGTGTCATTGAAGCAGTTAATCCCTTCTTTTATAAATTAATGTTGTATATATTGGCAACATCAGCTTGCAGCCCTGTGACTCTTCTCTATTTACCTAGAAGGCTGGTTGGAAGTTTTTCTGTTATATGCTTCATTATGTAAGTCAGATGCCGTAGATTTGCACGGTAACTATCCTTCCACACTAGGCATGTACTGCTGGCTACACCCACAGCTTTAAACACATACACACAAGCACACACAGGATGGAAAATTGGCCATAAAGTTTTACTTAGATTATAAAACAGCTCTTAGGTAATTACAATTCTGAGTCAGAAGTACAAAGCAGATTTTAAATTTGATCCTGTGACCTGTATGTGGAAGATATATTCCCTTTAGCTTCTATCTATAAGAATATGAAGCAAGGGAGTGGTGCTCGGACTATTTATAAATAGAATTAACTGCTATAGAAATGCATAGTTGTTTATTTAGTGTATGCAGTGGTTAGTCCATACCCTTTCATATTTCTTTAGCTAGGTCAGTTAATATTTTGACCACCAATTCCTATGCCTCTTTTTAAAAAGATTGATTTTATTTATTTATGTATGTGTGTATTTATTTATTTATTTATTTAGAGAGCGTGAGTGGGAGGGGGTTGTGGTGCAGAGAGAGAGGGAGAGAGAATCTCAAGCAGACTCCACGCTGAACAGGGAGCCTGACATGGGACTCCATCCCGTGGCCCTGGGACTATGACCTAAGCCGAATGATCATGACCTGAGCTGAAGGCAGATGCTTAACCATCTGAGCCACCCAGGTACCCCTCATTCACAGGAAATTTGACAGAAAAACAATCCCTTCATTCTTTTGTTCATTCATTTCTCACTAACATACAGCACAGACGTTTTTTTTCCTACTAGCTCATGTGTAATTTGTTCTAAGATGTGCCCATGAAACTGTGGTTGATTTATTTTTTTCTTACATCAGTAGCTTTAAAAATATCTAATCTGATGAGCCTTTAAAGGGAAGATAGCAAAATCAAAAATAAATAGCTATTTTTGATAAGTATACATGTATATAAGAGAATGGGAAATACTTATTTACAGATATTTTGATCCTATATGTATTTTGTTTCATATAACTTTTTATTTAACTGAGGAGACAGTTAAGGTACTGGAGAAAGTATTGGCTTTGAAGTCACACAAATCTAAGTGTCATTCCCAGCTCTGTCAATTGGTTGTGTGGTCTTCAGGAAGTTATCTAAAATAACCACAGCTTAGCT